GCCTCCACCCTGAGATGCAGACCACAGCCCCGAACCACCAGGGCCCAGACCGTCGTCATAACCTCAAGTCGCCCAATCGGCTCAATCGAGCCCAACCAACCAGACCCAATCCAACCACATCTACGCCACCAACCCCCAACCGCACCAACGGAGAGCAAGTCACCAACCAAGGAAGAGAGAAGATGACGACGGACTCCCGGCCACGCCTTACGGCATCGACACTGGCCGATGGCCTCAGACAACAACCAGAAGCCACCTCCCTCCACCCTCGCTTGCGACCGGGAGAGAAAATCGCTCGGCCACAACAACAAAACAGGAGGAAAAGCACCTGTGAAGGGCGAGCGGCCGGCGACGGCCGCGAAATCGGCCACGCCGCCGTCGGAGGAGGCCAAGAACGGCCGATTAAGGAGGAGATGCGGGTGTAGGGTTTGAGGTTTTGGAAATCGCCGATAAGGAGTGTTCTCAATCTATGATTTCCTTTTTTTCAGTTTATATCATTTACTTTATATTTTAATTTTATATATTTTGTTCCTTTACAATTCAAAGAGAATTATTTTCTGATTGAACTTATGGATTCTAATAATTTAGCTTTGACATTCATTGGATGTTTAAAATATAATTTCATTCATTATCTTTGTAAATCCTGTAAGTTGTATTGAATATTAAAAAGAATTATTTTCATACATTGATTTCTTTATGCTTGGCATCTAGGTGAAGATGTTATTCGAGTCAAGCAAAGTCGGATATCTCATGTTCGAACTTGTGATTATTTAATAAACAAATTTGATTAGGTTTTCGAGCTTAACCTGTTGAAATATATGAAATAGTTGAGTTCGAGCTATCAACAACAACGTACCCAGTCTATTCCAAATAATTGAGTTCGAGCTATCACGAGCCGAAATGAGTTGTGTTCGTGAGTAGTTTGACTCGAATAATAGCTCAATGTTAAGCAGCCTCGGGTAAAAAAAATTCCTAGCTACGCCCCTGTATAGATACATGTAGGCCCTGTTTGAAAGATAGCGGATTGAAGATAAATTAGCGGATTGGACTTAATTGAGAGGTTTGACCCGTCAAATCCGCTATTAAACTTGTTTGGTAAATAGCTTATTTTATAAGCTTTTTGGGCCCAAAACTCTAATTTAGAAAAAGCTCATTAGAGGAGCTTTTTGGGATAGAGGATTCACAATCTACTATTTTAATTTGGAACTTTTTAATTTGTATTATTTATTTTACAATTTACATTGATTTATGGTGCTAATAAATAATAATATGTCATCTATATGATTAATTTATCTTGAAAAATGTAAAATTTATAACTTCTTAATCAAGTGTTAGTAAATTTAAAAAAAAAATAATATATTTATAAATTACCAACTAAAGAATATTAAATGTTTTAATATATTATTATTAAAAGAATACACCCTAAATAATAAAAATGTCCTTATTGGTAATTTGCAATGTCAAACAGCTATAAGCTTTCAGCTATTTGCCAAACACTTATTTAAAAACCGCTAATGCAATTCGCTGGTCAAATCAGCTAACATAATCCGCTATCCGCTATCCGCTAATACAATCCGTTATTCGCTATCCGCTATCCGCTGATCGCCAAACAAGGCCGTACTGTTTGATACATCTAAACTTCCTATTATGAAGGAATTTGTTCATTCAAAATTCAACATCATTAATTATTATGAACTATGCACGTGTAAGATTAGCACAATATGTAACATAAATTACGATAATTTACATCCAAAGCTCGGTGCTTTTTAAAAAAAAAAAAAAAAAAAAAAATCGATTTCCTTAATACAAAGCGCCTTCTCTCGATATGTACAAATTGAGTGGCTAAATATTTGGAAAGAATTCTATGTTGCATGGAATTCGAATGAACGAATGTTCTACAAATTAAATTGATCTTTTATTTTTTACCTACCCTAGATCCATAAATTCGGAGCCTACAAAGTGATTAAACATTATGTTGGAAAGAATTCCATTCTACCAAAATTCCTACAAATTCCTATAAACTATGCATGTGTAAAAGTATTTTAAACGTGAAGTTGGAAAGAATCCATTATGCATGGTATTCGAATAATACCATTATTTAGACATGATTTCTTTGTTTGTTTATCTTCTAATCTCCTTATATTATTGAATTATAGTGTTTCATATTTTTAAAATCCTTTTTATTTTTATTTTTTTTTTTTTATTTCAGCCTTTAATTATTTAATACTATAAGTATTAGGCTCTTATATATTTCTCATCTACGTACACTAAACAAAATTATCTCGCTCTATACAGAAAAGAGTCTTCCATCTTCAATACACCAAAAATGGACGAGTCATGGGGACCAATTAGTGAAGTTAAAAGAACTAAAAGGCCTATGCTCATGGTTCGGATCGTTAGAATGAGCATGAGAGAGTATCAAACAAACTTCAGAACTATCTCAAAATTGCCCTCCATGATGAAGATGTATTCTTATTTTATTTTTTCTATTTCTTTTGTAAATAATATGTTCAAATCATGATAAATCTTTATTCTATGTTTTTTACAGGATAGTCGCATCACCGCATGGGTTAGATCTATGCACATCAAACATTTCACCAAAAACAAATATGTGGAAGCTGATGTCATTGACATTCGAAATTATTGGGTGGATAGTAATGTTGGTAATTATCGCCTCACTTCTAATGAATTCAAGATCATATTGCATCAAAGCACTCAATTCTTAAAGATCAAAGGAGATTTCCCTATTCACCAATTTGATTTTAAGGATTTTTCTGAACTTCAAGATATCGACAATATTGATATTGTCAATCTATTCGGTAAGCATGTAGTTTTGTTTTATTTCGTATTAAGTGTTAGATGTGTAATTTTTTATTCACTATTATGTGTTTTATATTTATTGTCGTATTAATTGTTTAAATATGAAATTTAATATAAAAGTAAATTTGTAGATGTCATTGGAGTTATTATTGATGTCCAAAGTATTCAGGAGAAGCAAGTGAAAACAGGTAAAACACAAATGGTGGCTTTCATTCTCATGGATTTGAAGTAAGTATTTTTTTTAATAGTAAAATGTATGTATATATATTATTATGTATTACGTATACATTATTATGTATATACAAAAAATATTAGTAAAACAACATACGAATATATATGTATATACCAATTGCTACGATTGTAGAAAGTACCTATCCAATGTTCAAGAACGCAACTGACGATCTGAGTTATTTGAAGGATATGGCTATATTAGCTCCCACATTGGAAGTTGTTGAGTCCATCAATCAATACATGTCTGATATGAATTCTTTTGAAGGTCGTACGTACTTGAGCTCTGACAGTACTTCTAAGTCGGATTCTGGCAATGATTACTTGGCAGATCTCCACAGGCCAGAATTCTTAAATAACATCAATTGTTCTGGAACTCTCAACCATGAGTTGCACCTGAAGGTAGGAACTTCAGTAATGTTGTTGCGCAATATGGACCATTCTATGGGATTGTGCAATGGGATGCGATTTGTTGCGACTAAACTCTCTACTCATGTTCTCGAATGCAAGATATTGACGGGAGATCACGCTGGAGATAATGTGTTGATTCCTAGGATGAATATCACTCCATCTGATACTAGGATTCCATTTAAGTTCCAGCGGCGACAGTTTCCACTTGTGATTTCGTATGTCCTGACCATAAACAAGAGTCAAGGACAATCTTTATCGCACGTTGGTCTATTCCTGAAGAAACATGTTTTTAGTCACGACCAATTATATGTTGTTGTTTCACGTGTAACTAATAGTAGAGGGTTAAAGATATTAGTTTGTGATAATGAGAAGTTACCCAATAACCAAACTCATAATGTTGTATACAATGAGGTTTTTAATAATATATGATTGTTTCTTGACTAAACAATCCTTTTTTTTAATGTTCCTACGTATTATAATTCTTTCGATCCTAATGATTACGAAATATTATATAATGTTACTCTCCTAAATTCTCCAAAATTATTCAGCCCCGTGCATCGCACGGGTACTGTTCTTGTTTTCAGTAATTATATTTAAAATTAGGTTTTTTTATAGGTTTTGAAGAACAAGCCTCACCGTGCATCGCACAGGTTGCTCACTAGTTGAAATAAAAAAATGGCCGAAAATTTACTTCTCCACAAAAGGAAAGAATTGAACGCATCCTCTTCCTTCTTTACTTATCAACATATTAAATTTTAGACTTATCATTATTAGGTTATTTTGGTAAAATCTCTCTCTCTCTCTCTCTCTATA